TTCCGATCTCCCCAAAACCCCAAAACCCCAGCACTAAAAACCACATTAATTTAATGAAATTAAAATCATATTTTTACTTAATTAACTAAATGGAAAGAGGAGGATAAAATATCACTCATTAAAATGAGGATCTATTCGACAGTCAAGACTTAGTCTCAGAATTAACTCATTTAATCCAGGACTAAACCCCAAACTCTTACTATACCTTAGAGGGAAAAGCCACAGTTGATGCAACTTTAGAAAATTACTATATATTTCAATCCAATAATGCAGATGATGATCATACTAACAAGCAATTTCATATTAACCTTAAAGATGACAGAATTGAGATTAAAGATATGTTATTTCAAGAAAATATCTTGGAGATTATGTATTTAGATGTATTATCAGTTCTGGTAGATAATGACTAAGGGAATGGTAACATTGTCAAGATATGGACTTTTCAAAAAAAGAGGAAAATATAGAGTGGCATATGTTGAAACAAAATCTCAATGCAGAGAGAAATAGATGTAAATTTCTCTATATTAATTTCAATTTTAGGCATACTTCATTGATTTTAGAGGGTCTAAAAATCAATCATTAGCAGATTAATTGTCTGCTAGAATGCAATGCCTCTGCCTAGGAATATCATATGAGAATAGTAAGTATAATAATATCTAATATAGATCGTTTACAGGTATGCCGAATAAAAGACAAATACTAGTAATTATGAATCCAAGATCAGGTAAAGGCTTAGCCCAACAAGATTGGTAAAAAGCTTTACCTGTTTTATCTAAAGGGCACTTAGATGTTCATCTAGTCGAAACTAAATATTTTAAGCATGCATACGAAATAGTTTCTGAGATTAAACCTGGATAATATGATGGAATTGTAACAGTATCTGGCGATGGATTAATTCATGAGGCTGTGAATGGAATATTTTAGAATAAGGAAAAAGATTAAATTTTAGATTAAGGATTGAGTTTTGGAATAATTCCATCAGGCACTTCAAATGGATTCTGTAAATCCATCACAGAAAATATTGAAGAAGAATGTAATATTGAAGTTGCTTCTTTCCTAATAGCCAGAGGTAGAAAAAGGCGCATAGACTTGACTGAAATTGAAACAGAATATAATTCTAAAAAGAAAATATACATGCTTTTGAGTTTATTCTGGGGTTTTCTTGCAGATTGTGATATTAATAGTGAATTTTTAAGATTGCTAGGGCCTCTAAGATACTCAGTTTGGGGAATATTCCGTCTTATATTTATAAAGCATTATCCTGGATCAATATATTACTAAGGCAGATTATACAAAAATAAAAGCATTGAGAGAAATGATGTGTAGTTGTAGGAGCCATTTTAGGTAAAGTTACCAGAACTAAAAAAAGATGTTGTATTAAAAAGTGCATCTTATGATTATTAGTTTGAGAATAGAATTTTCTCTTATGTATTAATTATGAACTGCCCTTTTATGGGAGAGACTATGAGATGTGCTCCTTTATCTTCCATCTAAGATGGCTAAAACGACATTATAGTTTAAGAAGTCAATCAAGGCAGGCTGAAATTAGCTAATCAACTAATTTAAAATGATTATGGCTCTTACTTTGATTCATAAGGCAACATTAAAAGCTCATTAGGCATTGATTATGCAAAATGTACTTAGTGGAGAATAGATCCATTCAATAGGACTCCAGAAAGTAATAAAAGCGAAGTAACTCAGATTGATTGTAAATATCAAAGCAGATTCAGAGATGATAGAACTGCATTCTTTGATATAGATGGAGAGAAGTATCCAGCACAAAGGATACAAGCTAGGGTTTTAAAGAGGTTTTTGCCAGTTTTTAGTTGATTATTTTTATTATTAGGTTGGTATTAAAATTAGAAGTTATTCTTACTTGAATTTTATTCTAATAACAATATGAGGGGTTTTGGGGTTTTGGGGTTTTGGGG